AAGATCGTGCTATGGATGGATTCAACGATGGTATTGCAGTGGATCAGAAATGACAAAGCGAGGCATCCACCATTCGTAGGCCCAGCGTTCCTTTACGGCCCTGAAGAAACATGGCCAATAGCAAGCTTCGAGCCACAAGCGCTGACTTTGACCGTAGTCGTAAGGAGAGCCAACAGAAACGATACAGATATAGAAAAATTCTCGCAGTATGAACGGCTGATTAGAGCCACAGCTTACGTACAACTATTTATACGTAAGCTTAAAGATCATAGTGGCCGATTAAGCGTAAGCGATCGGTTACTGCGTGTACGTGTGCGATTAAAAATACAGATAACAGAGGTGACAAGGAATCCCATTCTATTGGATTGGCGTCATACGCTTACAAAAGGACGCCGTAATGAAAAGCCATGGGGCGCGATTTTTACGTGCCTAAGTACTAGAGATGTACATATTGAGATAGTTGCGTTGAAACACGTTACCAAAAGAACGTGGAAAACGGCGCAAGCATTAGCAGATGAATTTTCGTTGTCCTACCTACGGAAAGCTTCACGTCATAGGAAGGTTTCGCTGAGGGGAGACTGTTACGGACAACGAACAATACAGTTTAGAAAGCCGACGAACGAAGCTGCCAGCCAGATGTTCTTCTAGGAAACGGTCGGCGGGACGCAGGTAGCGGAAGGGCCGGTCGGTCCCTTTGACCAGCGTGGTAGTTTTAGGTTTAGTTTTAAGCTATTATTTGTATAACGACCAGATAGATTTACGCAGCCGTGCCGGACGGACGTTAGTTATAAGCTCGCTTCGCTGTATTATTTTGTGTCACCATCGCTAACGTTCGACCAATAAACGGTAACAATTATAACTCCACTCCGAGTTTCATTTCGAGAATAGCGGCGGTGGTTCAGATCGACATCGTACGCTTATAGTTATGTTATCCATTATTCAGGAAAAATGTATAAATAGCTGTTGAATATAAACTAAAATCAATTGTATTAAACTTATATTGCATAATTATATTTACCTCTTTGTGCACGAGCACCTTCAGCTTCAGAAACGATAGCTTCTACTACAATTTCTCTTTCAGAATCATATAATGTTATTTTTCTTCTCGCCATCTTTAAGCTTTGAATATCATATTTCAAAAACAATTTCAAAAATTGCGCCGAATTATTCTCAACGTTCACTTTGACCCACCTCTTTAGATGGGTCGTTGTGAGCCTTGCGTGAGCATTAGTCATGACGTCATGAGTGACGTTTTCGCCGTGACCACAACGACCGCGGTCGGTATGTGGAATGGCTAAAGGAGAATTTTGATCGTCGTGAGCGCTTAGTGGAACGCACACAAAATCACGTTAAGTTTGGAATGCCCACACAAAATAACTTCAAATTCGGAATACAACAGAACAACTTTAAATTTGGAATGTCCCCGCAAAATAATTATCGGTTTGGAATTTCGCCTCAAAATAATAGTCGATTTGGTTTACCTCAACAAAATTATAAATTTGGTTACCAGCCACAACAGGGTCCTAGGTTCGATATACCACATCAAAAAGATAATCCACAACCAGTTAACACAGACGTTTCTGCGAACCGCACCGATAAGACAAAATATGATTAATGACTCTGAATATTATTACGAACCATACTATTACAACGATATAGCGATTATGATAACTATGAATCAAGCGAAACAGCCATATGTGAAAATTTTAATTTGCTAGAAAATTCTAAAGATAACAAGGAAATAGATTCGCAGCAAGTAAATTTTCAGGGAGTAGCCTCGAATCATATTCCGTAATAATAAATCTTAACTATTGTGATAGCATTTTAAAATTACCACACATATTAATTCCGGAACTAAACTCAAAATTTCTTATAGACACTGGTAGTAGTCGTTAGTTTATCAGTCCTTCTAAAGTAAATTAATTTTTTAATGAATATAAAAGCTATAAACCATTTACAGTCGTTAGCACTCATGCTCAAAGTACACATAACGAAGTAGTATATGTGGGCGCAAATTCATATATAATGATTATATTGTTGCAAAATATATTGATATATAATTTAAGTAAATAAATATATATGGGCGTATATATAACGATTATATTGTTAATATACGCCCGCCGCTAATAAATCATATTAAGGATTGATAGTCTGTGGAAAATTCATAGCATTTATTATGTTTAAGGAATGGTGTTGATCAGCTGCTATTGTCATTCATCATCATTTGATAATATCGGGGTTAAATTAGTTCAAAACCGTTATATGGTTTATTTTATTTACCAATATTAATGGATCTGCAAATTAATGACTATTTGATTGTCTGTAGTCTTTATTATTTATATTGAATATTATTATTATTATTATTAAAAGTAATTTATCACTTTAAACATTTAAAACTTATTGATAATAAATGTTAAAGTAATCTTTGACACTCGTTTCTATGACTGCCGTTTGACTCTGTGGTTGGTTCGGGTTCTGTCGTGGAACGAGTACACGAAATGTTACGAAACTTGTTTATCACAAATTCTGGTTGCTATATATATGGGAACTGGCGGGGGCGGCGCTCAGTTCCATTGAGCGGCCGAACCAATCAGAAGCCTTTAAAAAGTGGACTTTAATGTCGAAAGTAAATGGCTGATGCCAACAAACTAATTTATGACGTCAGTATTGCTGACGTCATTATCTTCAAGAATTCATCGTGGAGTCCGGACACAATAATTATGGCGTCTAAACGCCGACATATACATCCGTTTGCTTGTGTATTTTTTAATAGCCCTTTAATGCATAAATTTTATGAATATGATGTAGATGCTAGATATCATGGTTTAATTGGCTCAGATTTATTAAAGGAATTAGAAGCTAGCATTGATATGAAAACTGAAATACTGTATACAACTGGTTCTGCCATACCTATATTATATAGTACTCCATATGAAGTTATAATTGAACCCTGAACGGAATCAAAAATTAAAATCCCTACTAACCTACAAAATGGAGATGCCATAGTAGAACAGGTCAATTTCAGTAATGGCGTTCGTATGTCCAATGCTATCGTTACATGTGAAAACTTCTTTGCAACCACCGTAATACAAAATGTATCCGAGAAACCATTTAAAATTACTTTTAAGGAACCTATTAAAGTCTCAGTTTTTAAATCGAATAATATATAATAATAAATTAAAGAGGGTGGGAGGGACTTCTAAACCAAATAATAAGAAAAATAATTATTAAGTTAGACTAGCTTATGTAAGCATTATGTTTGTATTTCGTTGTTAAATTACAAATAGAGAACTTTCAGTTAGACTCAAGTCAATTCAGTTAGATAAATATGATAGAGATTGAGATATTCAGAGATATACGTTATGTGTTTTTTCAAAATGATTGAAATAAGTTGGTATTAGTTTGTATTTGTTACTATCATATGATACCTTTATAATACTATGTACCTGTTTTGTCTAATAGTTCATTAAAGTAAATAATTAAGAATTACTCATTGTTTTATTCCTAAAACCAACATCTACCAGCTGACAGTGGTAAAACCTAGCATATACTGAATTCGAATGGTAAAAGCTCGAAAAAATCGTCGTATTTTCAGAAAAACTTACATTTACCAACTCATGTCGGTAAATCCTAAGACTTACACTTAAATCTTAAGATTAACCGTAGTTCGACCCGATCGATCGATTTACGATCCCGAAGTTCTGTCACTGTCACATTATTTTAAAATTTCGAACATGATTTTATAAAAAAAATATTGCATTATAATTTTGAATGTTTGTCTATTGTTTTAAAAGAAAAAACAATCACTTTCCGTAATTTTTCACGATGGAGTAGACATTGAAAGAAAACCAAATAGCTGTTATTGCGTTGCACCACTATGGGCACTCGCCGAGTACAATTTTCAAGTTGCTCAAAAGTTTGAATATAACGCTTAGGTTTGTGTGGCGTACTATTGATAGATACAATGAAGTCTCCCGTGTTGAGGACAAGAAAATAACTGGCCGGCCACGCTCCGCAAGAACACCAGCAGTAATCAAAGCTATCAAGTCGCGGATAGCAAGAAATCCTGTCCGAAAACAGATGTTGATGGCTTTGCAGATGGGTGTCAATAGGAAAACAGTAAAAAAGGTTTTAAATGAAGATATTGGTCTACGAGCATACAAAAAAAAGAGTGGGCACTTACTTAATTCTCGTCTTAAGGCAAGATCGCAGGTGTTGTTGAACCGGTACGCGAAAAACCGACACCGTGATATCTTCTTTATGGACGAAAAATTTTTCGATTTTTAAGAGAACTACAATAAACAGAATGATATTGTGTACGCCAGGAGTTCTGAAGAAGCTGTAAATAAAGTTTCAAGGGTGCAACATGGACATCATCCATCATCAGTAATGGTCTGATTGGGAGTGTCCTATTACGGGCCAACTGACGTTCATTTTTGCGAAAAGGGGGTCAAAACCAGTACAAAAGTGTACCAAGAGACGGTTTTGGATCGGCTTGTCAAAAATCTGCCCAGCACGCTATTTGCGGCACAGTACTTCGTGTTCCAGCAGGACTCTGCACCTTCACACACAGCCAAGACCACTCAAGCCTGGTTTGAGCGTCAAAACATCGACTTAATTAGACATGAGGATTGGCTTTCCTCCAGTCCGGACCTTAATCATTTGGACTATAAAATTTGGCAGGTCTTAGAGAGAAAGGTTTGTGCTTTACCACATAAAAATTTGGAGAGTCTGAAGTCATCTTTAAATAAAGCAGTCACTGAAACCGACATGAACATGGTGTGTGCTGCGATAGACGACTGGCCGCGGCGCTTAAGGGCCTGTCTTAAAAATAAGGGAGGTCATTTCGAATAATGTTATGATATTTCAATGACAATTGGCGATAGATCATGGGGATATCGACACGGACGGAATACTGTATAACCGTAATAACAGACTGATCTTGGGGTAAACGAAGTTACGGAACAAATTTCAATTCCTTGTCGAGTGTTGGTTGCATAATGGGGTTTAGGACTAAAAAAATATTATTCATTGGTGTCAGGAACTCTTACTGTTGCATTTGTGCTGTAGCTGCAAAGGGGAAAACTGAAGTTCCTGCTCATAAATGTTATAAAAATTGGTTTGGCCCTTCAACTCAAATGGAAACTGATGCGATCGTAGAGGGATTCAAAATTAGTGTTAGTATGCATGGACTTAAATATACAAAATTGATTGGCGATGGTGATAGCAGCGTGTGTAATGCTTTGAAAGATGCAATTCCCTATGGACCAAATGTCTATATAAGTCTCTATATAAGTAAAATTGAATGCTCCAATCACTTGATGAAGAATTACTCAAATAAGTTGAGGAAAATTGTAAAAAAGTGCGAAAAGAGGAACGGACCAGTACCTGTCACACTACGCAAAACACTGAGATTAGATCTAGATTATCTTCTTAGATCGTCGTATATGTTGACGAATTGTCCTTTCTTTCAGCGATCGGCTAAATAAGGATGAACCGACCACTGTTTCTTTTTTGTCATGAACTCTCTTTTCCTACGTACATACAGCAGTAGTGCTGTCTCTTCAAGGTCCATTATTGGGTCCAATATTTAGTGGGAACTTAGGAGAAAGGCATTTTGTTCAAACGAAACAAACCGATAGAGAACATCGATGCTTACAGCGACTCGGATTATGCTGGAGACCCATTGACGCGAAGAAGCACTTCTGGCTCCGTTCTGAAGCCGAGTACATAGCCGCAGCAGAATGTTGCAAAAAGAGGCATTATATCTCAAATCTCTATTACAAGAAATAACCCGTTTGGACATAAAAATAAATTTGCATGTTGACAATCAAAGTTCGATTCAACTTGTGAAGTCTGGATCCTTCAACAAAAGGTCGAAGCACATAGACGTGCGGTACCATTTTATACATGAACACTTCGTGCATGGATTAATAAATATTAGCTACTGTCCCACAGAAATTCAGTAAGCTGACGTAATGACAAAACCATTGTCAAAAGTAAAGTTAGAAAGACACTGTGCAAGATAAAGGCGGAAAAATACTACCAAAACGCGACGCTACACCACGACATCCGACGCATGTCAGTACTTATCAATCCCATATATTTAATATGGTCAGATGCACATAGACAACACGCCATGTGATCACACGCGGTAACATCCAATCGATTTGGAGCGGCGTGTTGTGGATGTTGTGATGATGACGCCATGCGTCAGTCTTTCGAGTTTTTGACACGAATTTCAATTTATATACTTAGATATTTTTGGATTTATTTGGCGAAATGAACGACGAACAATTAATTGAGTTGAGATAACCTCAATACAAGGACCATACTGTGAGAAATAATGCATGGGACGAAATAGCCGAACAAATGAATACAAACGGTAAGTTTTATTAAAATATTATTTATTACAAGACTTTTGTATGAGTTGCAAGTTTTTAATTTTGTCTACCTTTCCTTACAATATCAAGCTGCCACGGAACGGCACCTTTACTACTAAAATATTCCTAAAATTTGTTTCTGACTGAAAATGCATACTGTGTGGAATTTATACGAATTGGATTTAAGTCGTGAAAGGCTGTAGATTCTGTCAGATTTGTCTGTTGTGAATCACAATAATTATCCGTGCGTAAATAATTATGTAAGCAACATGTAGCTAGAATTATTTTGTCGACCATGTCAGGTTGAACTGACATAGGACCAGCAAAAACACGCCATCTTGAACGTCTTGTACTATTTGTCGTACAGTACTGAATCCCATGCGATAGATGAATCCCAATGGTCTAAATAAACTGTAGCTAAATTAAATTAAATCTGTAGATCTTAAATTAAATTAAAATGATTCATGTGCACTTTTTATTATTATTAGTATAATTTTTTTTTAATGTATCCTTTATTAGTTTAGTTTGTTTTTTTTTTGTTCCTGTTTAGTTTCTTTTTCCTTACAAGTATATGTAATACATGTATTTTTGCACTTTTTGCCTACCTTATGTAATTTAATACATTTTCTTTTTTCTTTTCTCACAGTGGTTGCCTGGAAGAGACCGCTCGAAAGCGATAAGGCCGCCAGTTGCCTTTCCTTTACTTGTAATTTTGTTAAATTTTTATATCATAAAGCAACAAAGTGTAAATAAATAAAATACGCCGCAAGAAAAGTGGACAAGCAGCAGCTAAAGCAGTTCCTTGGAAATTTGAAAAGCAAATGGAGTTTCTGCTCCCACATGTTGATGGGAGATCTACAGTTACAAATTTAAGTAAATCAAATGATGGCGATTCGACAATTCGTCAGCATTGTGCAAAAGCATGTTACAGTAATAGCGACTAAAAACAAGTTGGGAAACTTACGTCAGAAAGAATGTGACAGTGCTTTTTGCAATGAGCGCTGGAGGTCAGTTCTTACCATCTTTCTTCATATTTCCACGAACCCGAATGAATGAAAGACTTATGATCAATGATCCAAATGAGAGTGTAGGTGAATCTCAACCAAACGGCTAGATGAATACCGAATTATTTTTGCAATGGATGCAACATTTTGTGCAATCCTACAGCTGAGAATCCAGTGGTCTTGATTCCTGATGGACATGCCAGTCATGAAGACTAAGGTGTCATTGAATTTGTCAGAAAAAATTATATTAATATGCTGAGCACTCCACCTCACACAACCCGCCAGTTACAGCCCCTAGCTCGTACTGTTACACCCCTATTCTGTTAGCCTTAGAGCTGACTTCATTCTTTCTATTCGTCATATAAACAAACTACATCTTATATAAACAATAGCCGCTCGAGCACTAGTTAGCTCGCTTAGTTAGCGGTTGCTCCGAAATCAAATATCGATTTATTAAAAAGCTATTTCTATATTCAGTTAATAATAATTAGTGGCATCGTAAAAGGATTTGAAATAAATCCTGTGTTCGTCTCTAAGTTCACGCGTGTGAAAATGTTTAAAAAAAAGTGTAAAAGTGCAGGTGCAGGTGCCCAATCAATATAAAGCAATACCACATCCTACAACCAAGAGCAATAAATATTCTGGAGGTAAATCGGGAAACACAATGCTAAAGAGAAAAAAGTAAATAAAATGTAAAATACAACTCAGCTATATTCGAGTGCCCATAAGTCTACAACAACTTTCGCAATCAACATCGAGAAACCACAGTTTGCTACATAACCACGACGGGATGTTTATATTATCCATTCTCAAAGTAATATATTTTCTATAAGTCATTGGTCACATTTATTTTAAATTGTTTTGTTTAATATTCGCTTTTTTAAGTGATGTGTATATTTTATTTGGTGTGTACCTGTGGCGAACAATAATACCACTCCTCTTTCCACCGCGTCGGTGATTTTACCGCTATGTGTAACGACACGGGCGCGGTGGGTGGAGCCTGCAGCCGGTGGCAGCGCGACCAGCAGACAGTGCGATTAGAACTCTCGAACGCGAAACCTTTGCGCGCGATTACGTATTCTCCCTAAGTAACTTATAATTAATTATTTCTTGTCTAAACGACTCTTATCATTTATTAACTTTGTTTCTTCTATGTAAATTATTATTGTATTGTATACATATTTAAGCCGTGAAGAAGTTTCCTTTGTCTTCCTACTACCTAGCCTAGAAACTATAATTATATGGTGCTCGCCTCACGCGCACCTATAAATTGGTGACCCCGACGTGATCATTTGTGTTATTTGACATTTTATTTGTTAAAGATGACAACGACAGTTAAGGACGAAGTTTGCCGCGTGGGCATTAAAGTTCCGCCATTTTGGCCTAATGAACCCGCACTTTGGTTTTTACAACTGGAGAGTTAATTTGCGTTGACCAATATTACCTCAGATGCAACAAAATTCTTCCACGTCACCGTGAATTTGGACTACAAATATATTTGTGAAGTGAAAGACGTAGTATCCAAACCGCCGTCGGAGGGAAAGTATGATAAAATTAAAACGAATTAATATCGTGTCTATCAACTTCTCAGCAGCAACTGGTTCGACAATTATTGTCGCACGAGGAATTGGGCGACCGAAAACCTTAGCAATTTTTACGTCACCTCAAAGCCTGGCGGGAGAAGATGTTCCAGACGAGTTCGTACGATCAATCTGAGTGAGCAGGTTACCCGATCATATTCAGGCGATTATGGCTGCTCAAGGTGACCTACCCTTAGAGTCTATAGCACGAATTGTAGATAAAATTGGATAGGCAAGTTGCCGCGACATCTCAGGCAGGCTTACCGACTTCGGCTATAGACTTGCTAACCCGGCGCATTGATGACCTATCGCGTCAGGTAGCGGCGTTGTCCACAACATCGAGTTCGCGCTCGAGGTAACAAGGGCCTTCAACACGTTGGCGACACGGTCTCGTAGCCGCTCTAATGCTGGCCCGGGCCAGTGTTGGTATCATCAACGTTTTGGTGGTAAGGCAACGAAGTGTCGCGCACCTTGTAGTAATATATAATATTAGAATATCAAAATGGAAAGCCGAACACAAAGCCCCGTTGGTACCAAACCCGAAGTCTGCATCACTGATACGGAAGATGTAAACGTTCTACATCCCCCTTTTGGACCTATCACTAGATCAGAAAGGAAACCCTCACCCACAATTTTACAAACTAGAACTGAATAAGAATTATCAATTTTACTTAAATCCATCAATCCATTCGATGGCTCCAGCAATAGACTTAACTCATTATTATCAAATTGTAATATGAATTAGCCTCATAATATCAACACGAAATCATGTTCAAACTTAAGGCCCATTTACACGAGGCCATTTTCTTGCCTGTAGCATACAATTATATCAACGCAATAAATGAGTTGCATGTTCTATACAAAACGTACGTACGTACGTAACCTAGTGGGAGTGCCATGCTGTTGCCTTCGGGCTTCAGCCAAATGGGCAGGCACGACCGGGGAAGTACCACTGTCTCTCAGAAAACCGGCGTGAAGTGATGCAATAAGTTCACCTTATTGTACTCGCGTTTCGTGCGGTGAGAGAGACTCCCGGAGCCCCCATGAAATATGAAGGTGCAGAAAAAGAGAATCTACCAGAGAGCGCGTACCACACGCGCTCGCGGTGGAGAATCCCCCTCTGGGCGTCCAACACCGGGACATTCAGCACCCGGTGGTGGACGCACAGGCTGCCCTTCGTATTCTGGGGGGGGCAATTCTGCGCTCAACATCAAAAACAGTTATCGTTCTCGGGGCAAACGGAGCAACTCAACAAAGGCACCCCCATCCACGCTCGCTGTGGACTTCACAAATGTTAGGGGCTCAATTCTAATATCAACGCAGTCCACTACCATTTAGAGACTGCGAAGCCGGCCTTGCTCTTTCTTACCGAGACTCAGATTTCCTCCCCGGCTGATACTTCCTACCTCTCCTACCCGGGGTACAAATTGGAACATTCATTTGTGCCGCGGGCGGGAGTTTGCGTGTACGTCAGAGAGGATATCTGTTCTCGTCGCCTCGGGACGCTTGAAGGAAGGGACCT